GCACGGGAAAGAGACAAGGCGTATTACTGCAGCATTATAACTCATTAGCATAAAATAAGTATTTTCGAATAGACCATTTTCCGTTCATTGCGAGAATCACGCGTTATGCGTGAAATCGAACGTAAAAACAGGACAAACAAAGGTCATAGCGTCGTAGTGGCGTCAAACATCGCGTGGGATTCGACAAACGCGAAATATTTTGGAGGACATTTCCATGCTTAATAATGTGCTGTCCACATTTGATGATAGGCGATTTTGATTAAGTAAGGGTATTCGGAAGCAATATTCCTCTGTCGAAGATCGGCCTGAGGATAAATCGAATCATCTTTATCATGCCTCGACCATTGCTGACTATTTGTGTTTCAAGTCTCCAAGTGGGCCTGAAAGCGAGGCTTGGGACGCAATGCAAGTCAGAAATATCCACTGCATCATGATAAAAGCGAATTTCACTCGGCTTTGGGTCGAGGCTGGAATCGCGTTCATTTTTAATATTTGTCTATAATTATTATATTTGTCTTATAGCACAAGATGAAACGTAACATGAGCTTATTAATATATTTATTCCATGATATATCATTCAATTATTAAAAAATACATTTATTCTCGATATTAGTTTTGATGTAGTACCAAAGATTATATCCAAGATAAACCTTTGTAGGAATATTAGGTTATAGACAGTAACCTCCAACACGTCACATATCCTGGTATATTTAGGAGGTAAAAAATCTCCATCTATGTGAATTTCTCCGTTATTTCCTCCCAAAAACAATTGAATTAAAAAACAAATATATATTACAAATTTATAATAACAAAGATTATTGGTGTTATAATGCACGAAAGAACCAGGATGTGTGACCTTTAGGGCCATTCATAGAACATTCTACTGCCAAAGTAGCGTATATAGTACTTTTTGCTGCTGAATCGTTACATTTGAACTCGTCCCAACGTCGTTTATCCAATCACAATCAGGGCATTCCATACGTACGAAAATCTCATTGAAATCCGAGTTTACAGTAGAAGTATCTGATTGAAATTACCTCCGAAATTGGAATTATGCTACATCCAGGAGTTTGATAATACCCCTGTATTTGGGCACACTGATTAGGATTTGCATATCATTTATATTAATGCGGATAGGCATTTTTGTTTCTGAGTTGGTATTTCATTTTATACTATGTTATTGTTTGTCTCGCGCTTTCTCGTGTGATTTTAATGAGACCTTCAACACACGACCTATTCGCACTGTCACATAATTCATCTTCTTTTATATACAATGTACAAGTTTTGCCCTTTTCTGTTTATATGCAATATTTACACAATAATTTGAATGAGAAAACCTCGTAACTTTGTCAAAGAGATAGATCATTTAAGGTAGAGATGCAGGTTCGTGGGCACTTGGGAGTGAAATTGTTTTTTTTTGCTTTTTATTATTCAAACAGTCTTGGCTATAGACTGTTAAAAAAGAAACATGGTGAAAAAAAGAAATGACGAGATCTCCATATTATGCACTATATTTAACTTTTAACAAAACGATAATGCATTTAAATTTGGAACTGTTACAGCCATTTTAATTATGAGCATTAGCAAACTTCTTACTGAGTAAATTGTTATGCAAATTAGCAATTCTCAGCTTCTTTTTAGTGCACATCCCAGAACTTTAAAAAAAATAGCTCCTAGACGCTTTGACCTTTTGTTTTGAAATTTTCACAAATGATTGACAATGTGTTTATCTTCAAAACGCCGTCGGGGCATTGTTTTTAGTTGAACAGTGTTACAACAATCGTACAGACAACTTAGCATAGATGTTATTTTATGCATAAACTTAAAGTAGTGAAATTTGAGACAGTTTTCAAGACTGCACTTTCTTCATAGTAAACAGATGTACCCATAAACCAATTTTGACAGAAAACAGAAGCATGGTTTAGAAGCTAATTTTTTTAATCACTTTTGACCAAAAAAAACACATTTTTGTACATAATTCAAACCAGTGTTCATGGAACAAAATTTTAAAACTCATACAATAAACTTTCCGAAAATATATAGTTTTGTGAACAAGGAAGGTCATCTTGGTTTCCTAATTAACTAATTAAAATACCTGTCAGGTAAACTGCATCTCTATCTTAAAAGTAGACTGTTTCCATGATAACTGCGCATGCCCGAGAATGTACACATAGCAACCAGTTATAAATTAAAGAGGAACGTTGCTAGGCAACAATTTAAAACAAATTTTAAATTGCTGTTTGATAATGCATGTTGATGAATTTACTTAAAGCGGGAGGGTCGTCACCTGCGCACGCGCAGGAATTGAATCCCAAGCGACGTGACGATAACAACACACGATAAAAATGCAAAGCTCATGTGTAGACGCTTGTTTGTAAACAGTGACACGCTAAGGCCATCTGACGCATGCGCAGGTGACGACTCTCCCACTTTAATTTATCATGAACTAAATAGTTTTCAGTACACAGAATATTTTCTAATATGCATGTGTATATTTGTTTTGGTACGTACGATAACAATCGCTGCGCATGCGTATCCATGTACTTAATGTTTCATGTGACAAATACTGTTGCGTGTGCTGAAAAGTTACGTTTTTAGTTTTGAGAAATAATCTAATTGGGTCATCAACATTACATTATCAAACATCAATGTTACCAAATGTATGTTTTCGTCTGTATGCCTAACATGCAAATTAGGTCGCATCATGGTCAGATTGTAGTGACTAGTACCCCTTGCTGTCATATCAAAACTGCAATACGGTCCAATGAACAGTGCACAGTGCTCACAGTTATCACGGCAGTGTCCTGTTAAATGTTTTTAAAGTACGAAAGTTTACAACATCATAAGTAAACGTGTTGTTTTGTCAACTCTATTTTAACATCAACTAGTTTATTTAAATGGGGAAGTCCGGGCAAACAAAATAACGCACAGAAGAATAAAAAATCTCAACACAAAATGCAGAAGAAATATGTAGAAGAATGCAATTTTTTTATTCCACTTTCCATTCTTTTTTCATAATCTTTTGCAGGAGAGTCAGGTTTATAGACTGCATCATACAGATGGTGAGTTGAATATTTAGAGAACAGAAAGCAATATAAAAAAATGTAATTGCGTTCTTCTACATTTGTGGGTCTCTTTCATCTGGGAGCGTTATGTGTTTGCTCGGCGTTTAAAAATTAATATTCTAGGCTACTAATCGCATTGAAACGTTGGCCACGGAATGGCAGTGACGTTGAACGAAAACTCGTTGTATTTTTACGTGGTCACCGAATGACTGATAAAGTGTGCAGTCGAGTCGTATCTTTTCACCGCCTCAGAGCTTTTCAGACAAACTTACGTAATGCTATATGTTAGTGTGTAACATAAGACTGGGAGCTTGTAGTGAAACGTCCAGAATGCATTGCCCCATTCGCTTCAGGCAGAGGAACCAGTCGAGTCTGGTTAGATGTGTGATTTCTAAACTCAAATTAGTAAGTTTTGTTCTTTTTTGAATCATAAACACAAATTATTATTTCTGAGTTCACAAATAAACCATCGTTTCAATTCTATGCAACTAACAACCATTACTAAATATAACTACATAACTACATGCTTTTTTAAGTTTGTAAACGCTCTTCTCTAAAATTATCACAGTAATAGCAGTACTTGTTGGTTGTCGCTTACTTATGATTCACTTTCTTATCATCAAGTGCTGTAATCAAGATTTACATATGAATAAATTGAAACAAAACAATTTTTAAAATACCAGTTACTATTGCTCTTTCTAATAAATCATTCGACTGCCCATGCTGAGGATAAACTAAAGCGCCCTCAATCATAATTACTGCTGTCTGGTATTAGTCATGTTTTATGTCACGAAAAGTTCAAAAGTTTGGTAACCTCTGAACTGTTTTGAAAACTCATTCATGATGTAGACCATCCCGATCTTTGCGTGTCCGAGGAATTACAACGTGCCAATGTTGGCTGCGAATTCTCGCGTTTCTTACAAGTATCTAAACTTGATTGCATTGTTTCCGTGGCAACGAGTAGAAGTTGTACGAGTTCCATGTAAGCTTGTGAGCTGCCAGTTTCAGTGGCCGACAAATCGCCCCAATCTTCCGTTAACACTTTGGTCGCTATTAGCGTGAGTTTCAAGATTCCCTTGAAGTCCTGTAGACTCATGTGACTGTGCGTCAGCAGCGAGGAGTCGAGCATTTCGTTTATTAATATCGCAGCCTGCTTCTGCTTTTGTAAAATTTCGATGTATCCCTCGTTTTCGACAGTTTGTTCGGCTTTCTTAAGCGTATCCTCAAGGATTCTTGTCGCCTTCCGCATGATGTCAGTAATTTCCTTGTACACGGCGATGATGTCATCCCGGGTGTTGGCGAATTCAGAATTAGCGAGCCCAGTGATCGACGATTCGACCGTAGTGTTGCCGTTGTTTCTGGCGCGTGTAGGCGATTCGGTGACAGTTGATTCACTGGCGTTGAAGCTAGACTGCGAAGCACCCGTTGTCGATCCTTCGTCACCGCTAGTTAACGATTCTGACGTTCGGTTGCCGTCGCTAACGGATGCCACATCACGCGGAGAACTACTGTCGTAACTCGGCGAACCTGAAGTCAATTCATCGCGGGGTGCAGATATGACAGAATCGGCGAACGATTCCAAAGTCATCGATTCGGTTATGGAGTATTCCGACTCCGTGTCTATCGGATGACCTCGATGCGTTAATTGCTCGAAACTAAATTTGTCTGGATTAATATTTTCTGTCACGTGAAAGGTCGCCGATCCACCCGATGACGGGAACTCGATAAACACATCGCTATACTGGCTGACTGCCGAAACGGGCGCCTCAGTTTCATTTTTGTGCGTGGAGAGATACGATTTTCGTCTGGGCATTTTTTTAACAGACGGCATGTACTGCATAACACCTCTCGGAGATCTGCCGAACCCTGTGACGCTCGTGAACAAGTCGTCTTCGTTCAACTTGTCCAGTTGAGGGAGCACGAGTGGCGACGGTTTTACATACACGCGTTTTGGGTTTTCAGCCGGCGCTGAACTAGTTTGCTCGGTTTTAATGATAGTGGACGTGTTAGTGTGTGATCGTCTGCTTCCACCCCCGGTTTCGTAATATGTAAATCGGGGACCGACGCAACAGGATTACTCACGACTTTTATGGGTTGCTCCTTATTGTGTTCACTTTCAACCGACTTCGCCCGCCCTTCCTCGAGCTCGCTTTTCTCTTCGATGGACTTCCACATGTTCAATACCTCTGACGAAAATTCGTCCTTCGGTACTTCCGCAACAATATCAGAGATTTGTTGAGATTCCTTTTGATGTTTTTGTGCAGCGTAACTTCGGTCTTGCACACTAGTTTTGTGTAGTACCTCAGGTAATTGTTTGTTGCCATTTTCGGCGTTGGCGGCGCTGCAATGAAAAATATTACTGTCTTCCGTGGTGGGCGTTTCAAACATGACTTCCTGTTTAGTGATGCTGTCATTGGCGCCTATGCATTGCTTTAACAATACATTAGAGTGAACTTCTTTGTTTCCGATTTCCTGTTCATTATTATTTGCAACGCACACCGGTAACTCACTTTCTGAACCAATCATTCTCTTATTTTCCAACCGTTCTTGGTTGTCGCCGATAACATCAAAGTCGCTGTGGTTATTTGTTAATCTCGTGGCTAAAATGCGAGATAATTTATCCTCCGTTCTCCTACTTGGTTTCATCGTTTTTCTTGTCCAGTTTGGAGAATTCTTAGTATGCCTTTGTATTAGTGGATCGCTCCCGTAAGCACAAGTCAAACTACCTTCGTATCTGGTGTACCCATCGGCCACTGTGAAACCCAAACCTCTAGAAACCCCACTAAAACTACCAGATCGCCGGAATTTGTTTGGTGGACGATATGATATTTTCCCTGATTTTCTATTTCTTTTCTTATATTTCGTGCTATCTTTTAAATTTGTTTTGTTGTCCTCTTCCGATTCGGTCCAAGTAAAATCACTGTGTATCGACTGTGAACTTTCAGCTGCTTGAAGGGACTTAGTGGAGACTGTGACGGCGGTGTGTGTCTTTTCCAGGCTTTCGTGCGGCGAAATATTTTTTGATGGTTCCTTCGATTTTAATGAATGTTTCTCCTTTTTGGCTTTCTTTTTCTCTTTTTCCTTCTTATTTTTATTTTTGACTTTCTTTTTCTCTTTTTTCTTATTTTGCTCATCCAACGACTCAGTGGAACTGAATGCAGACCCAGGCGGAGTTTCCGATGATAGCAATTCGGGGATACTCAGTGAACCTCTCTTCTCTTTTTTTTCTTTTTTATCTTTCTTATTTGGATGTTTTGATTTTTTCTTCTTCTCTTTTTTGTTATTTCGGTCATCCAGCGATTCAAGGGAGCTTATTGTGGACCCAGGTGGAGTTTCCGATGACAACACTTCGGAAATATTCAGTGAACCTTTTTTCTCCTTTTTGCCCTTTTTGTCCTTTTTCTCTTTCTTATCTTTATTTTTTCCCTTTTTCTTCTTTTCATTTTGGTCATCCAGTGATTCACGGGAACTGGTCACAGACCCTGGTGGAGTTTCCGATGACAGTATTTTGGAGATTCTCAGTGAACCTTTTCTCTCCTTTTTGTCCTTTTTCTCTTTCTTGTCTTTATTTTTTACCTTTTTCTTCTTGTCATTTTGGTCATCCAGTGATTCACGAGAACTGATCACGGACCCTGGTGAAGTTTCTGATGACAGCACCTTAGAAATTCTCAGTGACCCCTTTCTCTCTTTTTTGGCCTTTTTCTCTTTCTTATCTTTATTTTTCATCTTTTTCTTCTTGTCATTTTCCTCATCCAGGGATTCAAGAGAACTGAATGCGGACCCCGGCGGAGTTTCTGATGATAACACTTCAGAGATTTCAAGTAATTTTAGTTTACTTTTCTTCTCTTTTTTGTCCTTTTTCTCTTTCTTATTTTTATTTTTCACCCCTTTCTTTTTAAAATCATCTTGTTTCTCTGACATTTCGATGTTCTCACCCAGCAACTCATGGGAACCAACTGTGGACGCTGCCTTTTCTGGTGAGATGTCCAGTGATTTTATAGAACCTTTCTGTTTTTTGTCCTTCTTTTTTTCTTTGTTCTTTGTAATTTTGTCTTTCTTCTTCTCATTTTTCGGAGTTGTTATCTTTGGAAGCTGTTTTTTAATGCTATGTTCCAGGTCACTAGTCTCTGATAGGTGTTCATCGTCAGAACTGTCTGTCATGTCATCTGTTTTAGAGCCCTTCGACATTTTTCTACTGCTCTTATCTTTCGTTTTAAAGAACGTTCGTTTATTTTTCTTGTCCGGCGTTGTTACTGGTTGTTTTTGTTTCTTTTCTAATTTTTTCTTGTCTTTTTTCTTCTTCTTGTCGGGGCTAGACTTCTCTTTGTTTTCTTCTAGTTTCAATGTGTGTATTCCGGAATCTGTTATAATTTTGGAATTGTCCTTTGTTGTATCTGTTTCACGTTTTTGCTCGTTTTTGCTAGAGCACAAAAGAGCGTCATCTTCTTCTTTGTCCACCTGCGTCACATCTGCGCTAGTCACATCTGAGATGCATGCTGGTGTTTTATTTGATTTTTTGTTTTCACCGTCACCCTTTATATCTTCTGCAAGCTTTTCCTCCTCATTTCCATTCAAATTCAAAAGTAATCTAATTGTTTGGTCCATGTATGTGGATTCTGTTTCCTGGTTTTGAGGAACCTCAGTCTGTAGTTTGTCATGCTTGTCTTTTTCATTTTTGATCTCTTCTTTCTGATGTATGCTCTCATTTTGATGCGATATGCTTATTGGCTTCTCCTTGAGTTCTGGGTCAGACACCATTTCTGACTTGTTTCCCGTAACTGCCACTTCCATATGCTTGTCTGTCGTGAGCATTTTGATTGGCTGTTCAATTTGTTTCTCACCTTGTTCAATGACTTTGGCATCCGGATGTGTTTTCTCTTTTGTTTGCGATGATTCTACTTTAATTTCTTTCTTTTTGTCATTTGTCGAAGTCATTGTCTTCATAGGTTGTATTTTAACATTAGAATCTAAGTGAATAGATTCTGGTAGTTGTTCATCACTAGAACTGTCTGTCATATCATCTGTTTTCGAACTCTTCGACATTTTCCTAGCACTTTTATCTTTCTTTCTAAAGAATTTTGGTTTATTTTTCTTTGATACTGGTGATTGTTTTTGTTTCTTTCCTAATTTTTTCTTGTCTTTTTCCTTTTTCTTTTCCGGTTTAGACTTGGATTTCTTCTCATGGATTTCTTCCATTTTCAATGGTTTTATTTCATTGATTGAATCTGTTATAATTTCGGAATTGTCTTTTCCTACGACTTTTTCGTTTTTCTGCTCGTTTTTATCAGACCATAAATGAGTGTCATCTTTTTCTTCGTGCAGCTGACTCACATCAACTTTAGTAGTATTGGTTATGCATGCTGGTATGTCGGTAAATTTTTTCTTGTCTGGTATTGCCGATGTAACCTCATTGAGATATACTGGTTGTTCCATTTCAAGTTCTTCTAATTGTTTTTTGTCTTTTTCTCTTTCCTTCTCAAAGTTAAACTCTCATGGCTTTCTTCATGTTTTGGTGGTTTTATTCCACTGACTGGATCTGTTATAATTTCGGAATTGTCCTTTCTTGTATCATTTTTCTGACTGTTTTTGTCAGAGAACAAAAGTGTGTTATCTTCTTCTTTATGCATGTGTGTCACACTTATGTTGGTGGAATCAGAGATACATACTGGTATTTCAGTTGGTTCCAATTTGCTATCACCATTTATATCTTTTGATTGCTTTGTTTCTATTTGAGGGATTTCGGTCTGTAGTTGATCATGCATGTCTTTTTCATCTTTAATGTCATCTTCCTCATGCATAATCTTATTGATGTGTGATATACTGATTGGCTGTTCCTCGAGTTTTGAGTCATGCACCAGTTCTGACATGTGTTCGGTAACTACTGTGTCAACATCTGTTGCGTGCGATTTGATTGATCGTTCAATTTGTTTTTCACCTTGTTTAATAATTTGGACGTCTGATACTGTTTTCTTTGTTGTTTGCATCAGTTCAACTTTATCTTTCTCCTTGTCGTTTATTGAAGGTATTGTCTTTACAGGTTGTTGTTTAACACTAGATTCTAAGTCACTAGTCTCTGGTACTTGTTCATCATCAGAACTGTCTGTCATATCATCTGTTTCAGAGCCCATCTGTTTAAAGAATGGTGATGTATTTTTTTGTTCTGGTGACGCTGCTCTGATTTCATTGAAATTTTCTAGTTCTTCATTTTTAAGTAATTCTGATTGTTTTGATTCTCTTTCAAACTGCTTCTTTTCGTTTTCCATTTTCATGTCAGGATTAAACTCATTGAAGGGTTCTCCTAGTTTTGATGGCTTTATTCCATCGACTGAATCTGTTGCAACTTTGAAATTGTCCTCCCTCTCAACCTCCTTATTTTTCGACTTGTTCTTGTTAGAGCATGAAAGAGTGTCTTCTTCTTTGTGCAATTGGCTCACATCGGCATTAGTGGCATCGGATATGCATGCAGGTATGTCGGTTATTTTTTTCTTGTCTGGTGTTGCTGGTTTAGTCTCGTCAAGATATTCTACTTCTTCCATTTCAAGTACTTCCGATTTTGTCTGCTTCTTGCCTAATAGTTTCTTGTCCTTTTCTCTTTTCTTGTCAGAGTTAAACTCATCATCGTTTTCTTCTAGTTTTGATGGTTTTATTCTACTGACTGTTATAATTTCGGAATTGTCCTTTCTTGTATCTATTTCATGTTTCTGCTGGTTTTTGTCAGAGAACAAAAGTGTGTCGTCTTTTTCTTTGTGTACCTGCATCACATCTATGTTGGTGGCATCAGAGATGCATGCTAGTATTTTGGTTGATTTTTTGTTTTCGTCATCACCATTTATATCTTTTAGGAACTTGTCCTCTTGAGTCTCATTCAAGTTCATATCTAACGTAATTGTTTGGTCGATGTATATCAATTCTGTTTCCAGTGTTTGAGGGATTTCAGTCTGTAGTTCGTCTTGCTTGTTAATTTTACCTTTAATCCCTTCTTTCTCATGTCCACTCTCATTGACGTGCATTATGCTGACTGGCTGCTCTTTGAGTTTCAGGTCGTTCACCAGTTCCAATGTGTTTGCATCTATCGCAGTGTTGATCTGATCTGTTTTGAGAGGTTTGATTGAATGTTCAATTTGTTTTTCACCTTGTTCCATGATTTGGACATCCGAATATGTTTTCACTGTCATTTGCAATGGTTCCATTTTAATTATGTCTTCCTTCTTTCCAGTTTCCATAGTGATTGTATTTGTATGCTGTTTTTTAATGCTTGATTTTAAGTCAATAAATTCGGAAACTTGTTCATCATCAGAAGTGTCTGTCATTTCATCTGTTTTAGAGCCTTTGGACATTTTTCTGCTTCTCTTGTCTTTCTTATCCTTCTTTTTAAAGAATTTCGGTTTAATCTTCTTGTCAGGTGTTTCTTTCGCTTTATTGAAAGATTCTAGTTGTTCTATTTCAAGTACTTCCGATTCTTTTTGTTCCTTTCTTATTTTTTTCTTTTTCTTGTCTGGCTTAGATTCATCGTGGGCGTCTTCTAGTTTTGATGGTTTTATTCCATCAACTGCTATGATTTCGAGATTGTCCTTTCTTGTATCCTTTTCGTGTTTCTGCTCGTTTTTATCAGAACACAAAAAAGTGCCGTCTACCTCTTTGTTCATCTGAGTCACGTCTATGATATTGGAGATATATGCTGAGTTTTTATTTTCGATTTCAGCCTTTCCATCTTTTAGGAGCTTTTCTTCCTCAGTCTCGTTTAAGTTCAGATCTAAGGTCTTTTTTGGATTGATGTATTTCATTTTTCTGTCAAATGCCTTCAGGAACTCAGTTTGTAGTCCGTCTTCCTTGTCTTTTTCATCTTTCATTTCATCTTCCTCATGCCCGTTCTCACTGATGCGTGACTCGCTGCTTGGCTGCTTTTTCTTGAGTTCCAGATCGTACACCAGCTCCGACATGTTTTCAGTAACTGTGCCGTCGGTATGATCAATGGTGAGCGATTCGATTGACTGTTTATTATGTTTTTTACTGTGTTTGATGATTTGGACATCGGAATGTCTTTTATCTCTCATTCGCGATGGTTCAACTTTGTGCGCCTTTGGAAGTGTGTTCCTTCGTGGAGCTTTTGCATCTAGTGATGATGTCGATATTTCTGAAGAAACCAATATTTTTGAATCTAATATTGGTGCTTTAGTTTTATGAGTTCCAACCACATTTTTCCCTTCCGACAGTTTTCTTTCCTTGGTAGATACCTGTGATGTTTTACCTCTATGAGATGAGGCAATAAATTCTTTAGTTTTCTGTGCATTGACAGATGATTTCGGTTCCTTAGATTTTGTGACTGGTGCTGCTCTGTCCATTGGTTTGGAGGTTTTTCTTGGAGAGGTCTGTTTTGTTGGTGACTTCGGCTTAGGTGACAATGTTTTTGGGGCCCCTGTCCTTGTTAACGTTCTCTCACTGGGTTTAGATGGGGACGAGGGTGGGAGCACCGCCTTATTTGCCTGTCTCCTGTTGTAGGTAGTTTTCCCATAAACAAACTTTCCGAAGAAATCCTTCATTTTGCCACTGTTCGGAGAAAGTGGCGCCTTTTCCATGTTATCCCTCTTTTTTCTTAATTCGTAGTCGTTCCCATCCGCCATAATGATGTCGATATTCGCAGCCTGATCGAGACTGTTTATTTTACCTTTGCAAAGAATACCACAGTAAAATGTGAATTACCTAAATAAGAAATAAATAAAAAATAAAATATAAATGTTTCTCAAGGGTCATGATGAACAAGTGCGCATCGAATGCAAAGTACCAGATAACAACTTTAAAATATAATATAGACAAGATGTAATATTTTATATTAACAGTATGATTTTTGGGGAAACGAAAGCACTATTACTGTAGTTTTTATTCCATGAAACAATGAATTCTTTAATACGCATGTTTTGTACATACCATAACAATCAATTAACATGCATATTTAGTGTTTTCCATTTTCCGAATAATGACAATATTTTAGTTCCGATTTGCTCCATAGTGTGGAGTATCGAAAAACAATATACACAATTCATATTCGTTCATAATGCATGACTATATAATAAAATAATGATAAAGTGCATAGAAAAATGTACAGTATAGTACATTTCACTTATGATCTTATTACAAGTTATCTCTCAATACAGCCATTTGAAACGTATACGTTTGATTTAATTAATTGCTCTGAATTATAAATTAAGTTAATTAACGGTTTCAAAATCACAATTACGAACCATTGTCCTTGACAACCAACACGAAATACGATATCCATACAAAAACAATGAAAATTCTGTTAATTATTTATTTATTTAGATTTGATGTCACGGGCGATATCAACAAGATAGTCAACTTGAACTTGTCCAACAATTATCATGGTATGTGATAAAATTAGTGAGCTTAGACTACGTCATGCTTAAACATTGTTAAATTCTGGTTACTTGTTTGTTTTAGTAGTACATGTATTATAATACAAAGCGAGCCTTAAAAACGATTCCAACTTAAGGAGTCTTCATCATCTTTGTGATTGGCGAGTTTTATTTTGACCCAGTTGAGATCAATCACGTTTTCCTGATTGTAATCTCCCAGTGACCTCATCGACCTTTTTTATCAATGTATGAAGAGTTTCCCGCCTGTCAGTTCCACCCACTTCCAACTAATAAATAAGATGGGTTTTAACAAAATCGCATGTCCGTACACTTTACATCATGTACGCCTTGAACGGCAAATCTACCTAACGGTATCCAATAAGCGGTAGCCTGACCCATACTAAGTGCATGATATTTTCGAAAGCAGTGGTAATAAGTATTATGTGAATTGTGTAACGTACGTTATATCAGTATCTATCTCGATGTCAATGTGGTATATTCGTAATGCGTCCGTTATTGCTTCAATTTACATAAGTCTTAACCCTGGGGCCATCCCGTACCGGGAACGATTTGTAAATATTTGATAACTTCGCAGGTAGGTGGGCGTGTTCGCTGCTGGCAGCGTGATGTAGTAAGTTGCAAATTCCCGCGTAGTCTGTTCAAAGGTCATTCACTGTAAATGTCTTGTAATAGACGAATTTCGACTTGTATATATATATATATATATATATATATATATAGCACTCAAAGTTAGAGGCAAATGTTGTCGTTTTACTCCGGGGCTTGTACTTGTTTTTGAAATGAAACATGTGTTTATTGAGACGTGGCTATTAGTTTAAATATGTTTCTGAATTATGACATCGTTTAAACTACTATACTACTCGAAATAATGCAGCTCGAAAACTGAAATCATTTAATAGAGAAAATGCTCTGAAAAAGACCTATTGAGAAAATTATGGAATTATGGAAAAGAGGTGAATTTATAACGGGTCAGGTGTTTCTCACCTTTGACCAAGCTGAGCCGACACGTATACTCACCTGCCTTCATAAAATTTGAAGAAAAAAAAACAATATAAGTAAAACGGTCCACAATTAATCAATAACGTAATTTGTTAACAATCTGTCTAAAGTCATTATCCAAATTAATTTAATTTTTAGGTGAGATATAATACTTTATAGATTTAGATTATTGTTTGATTCCATCAAATATAGTTTGTGCATAACCCCGATATTCCGTGTCAACTAGATAAAACCCGATTGCCTATCGTGATTGAATTAACAACTCGTAGTTTTGTTGAAAACAGATCTCTGGTTTCATGAACTTTTTTTTCTTGAATCATAACAAATTGTGTCATTTTGCGTATGAATGATCCCTGGCTCAGACACATTAGTCGGACCAGGATTAGCTCTGTCACCCGCTAAAGTTATCACCTCGATATTCCCTGATCGCCGACACTCACCTTTTAGACAGTACGGAAAACGGCTTCAGTGCAAAGTGTATCAGTTGTCTTTTTAAAAAAAATAGCCTAGCTTCAATCCCACGGCACCGAAACTACGGTATCTGAAGGGAAGTTGTCGATGAGAAATACTATAACTGTTGGAGAAATCCCGTTATAAAGGAAGTGATCGTCAGTTCTGTTTCTACACGTGGATCGTCTCAGATAAGCCAGCGTGTTTTCAAATACGCAGAAGCAGCAGCCATTTTGAAGTTGATAACTTTAGAAGCCCACGAATGTATTAAGGTCGGAACCCTGTTAATGATTAACAAGACTCGCCTCTGCGCTACAATATGTTATTCATTCCCCTCAGGAAGCTCTGCTATGCCATGTATAGACCTCTCTTACGCAGGTGTGTCAATTTCATAAGTACCGGCGCCCTGATTGGTTTATTTTTGTCATCGGGGTTGGAAAGCCATATAGTAAATATGCCGATTTTTTTTAATAATAATAACAACAAAAATATTTCGCATAGTTTCACGCAGTAAAGATTCCCC